GGACATTGAGATATTGTAGGCACGATGTTTACTGAGATCATACTATTGTAGATGAAAGTGTAAACGTTATTTTAATACTTTCTTACATCAAGTTACCTAGATAAATAATACACAAGAAATTCAGATCTTGTTTTTGGAATACTGGTTGATCTGAAATTACTTTCAATATGGAATGATTGAAAGGTGATGTTTCAGTAGCATTTCGTGTTACATATACAGGCATTTTATTAAATATATTCTAACTAATTATCATTCCTAACTGCAGGTGGCGTTTTACCCTCCATGATGCAAGAGCTCCAAATGCCTATAGTTAGTAACCAGAATTGTACGAATATGTTTTTAGCCGCTGGAAGACGCGAGTACATCCCAGACATTTTCATGTGCGCAGGATTTGAAGACGGGGGTAAAGATTCTTGCCAGGTAAGACTATTGTGGTGGTGAAAAAAAACATTAGCAACAATACACAGATGTGTAGACAAAAAACTTTGTGCTCTATAATACTGCAGAGTATCAAAATATTAGCAACAATACACAGATGTGTGGACAAAAACGTTGTACTATATAATACTGTAGAATATCAAAATATTAGCAACAACACACAGATGTGTAGACATAAAAACGTTGTGCTCTATAATACTGTAGAGTATCAAAATATTAGCAACAATACACAGATGTGTAGACAAAATAACGTTGTGCTCTATAATACTGTAGAGGGGGAAAATATTAGCAACAATACACAGATGTGTAGACAAAATAACGTTGTGCTCTATAATACTGTAGAGGGCCAAAATATTAGCAACAATACGCAGTTGTGTAGACAAAAAAACGTTGTGCTCTATAATACTGTAGAGGGCCAAAATATTAGCAACAATACACAGATGTGTAGACAAAAAAAACGTTGTGCTCTATAATACTGTAGAGGACAAAAACTGTAGCAACAATATACAAATGTGTAGACATAAAAACGTTGTGCTCTATAATACTGTAGAGGGCCAAAATATTAGCAACAATACACAGATGTGTAGACAAAAAAACGTTGTGCTCTATAATACTGTAGAATATCAAAATATTAGCAACAATACACAGATGTGGTAGACAAAAAACGTTGTGCTCTATAATACTATAGAGAGCCAAAATATTAGCAACAATACACAGATGTGTAGACAAAAAACGTTGTGCTCTATAATACTGTAGAGGACAAAAATAGCAGCAACAAAGAAAACGTTGTGCTATATAATACTGTAGAGGATCGAAATATTAGCAACAATAAACACATACCTATAGAAACAAACGTTGTGCTCTATAACACTGTAGAGGATCGAAATATTATCAACAATAAACACATACCTATAGAAACAAACGTTGTGCTCTATAAAACTGTAGAGGATCGAAATATTATCAACAATAAACACATATCTATAGAAACAAACGTTGTGCTCTATAAAACTGTAGAGGATCAAAATATTATCAACAATAAACACATACCTATAGAAACAAACGTTTTGTGATACGTTAAATTTACATTAAACAGGAAGTTCAACGTAACAACAAAAGTAGTGGCCGTGACCTGAAGGTGACCACATGTGGTCATTTTAATATGCTTTACCTTACAGTTTAAGTTAAGAAGACAAAGTTTATGAGTGTTTTGAAAAAAATTTTAAATAAGATTTTTGTATTACCTGGATGATTAGGAAATTCAAATAGCGCCCTCTTTTATTGGAAAATTGTAGGACTTTTATGTTAAGAGTAAACAGAAAAAGCGTAAAACATTTTACTTGTTAAATTCGTACAACTATGTAAGCCTTTACGTGTTAAACGTTCAATGTAAAAACAATGACACAAAACTTGATTTTCAGGGTGATTCTGGAGGACCAATACAGGTCCAAAGAGAAGACGGCAGATGGTTTCTGGCGGGGATTATCTCCTGGGGAATTGGCTGTGGGGAACCTAACCTTCCAGGTGTTTCCACTCGTATCTCAAAGTTCAAAGACTGGATCTTAGAAAATATAAGAAAATGATTGGAGATTTCCCTGTTCGATCGGTGTATTTTATCCACGATTCTTAAATGAACATTCACATCAAAGACGAGTTACAGAGAACATTCTAGACTAAAAAAAACGAATAAAACCGTGATGATGAAAATATTTCATAAAAATGACATTTGAGTGAAAGGTGTTTAGAATCACACTGACTCACTCAGCGGTTCTCTTACTCATACAAATGATGTTTAACTGTTGCACATTTAGTGATCATGATTTAAGAAATACTTTCAGTGTAGTGTACACTGCTTATTCTGTAATGTCCCTAGTGAAATAAAATATTAAACTTGTAATTTCAACTGTATTACTCAACAATGTCTTTAGTGAAATAAAATATAATTATTGTGAATTGAACTTGTAATTTCAACTGTATTACTCAACAATGTCTTTAGTGAAATAAAATATAATTATTGTGAATTGAACTTGTAATTTCAACTGTGGCATTGCCTTATAATTTGCATTGTTTCATTTAAGAAAAGTTTTGTAAAATAAGGAACTTACAATTATTGTGAATCTGACTTGAACTAGAATTATCCTTTAGATTTTCTAACCTATCAATGCACGAGCGTTGTGTGTCTATTAGTTTGTCTTATCGCGTATTATTAAAAAAATTGAATTTTTAAAATTTCTGTTTGCACGAGTTATTAATTATTGAAATAACACTGTTGTATTTGATATTATTTAAGAAAAATACTTGCCATTTACTATGTTACAGTTCGTTAAATGTTACTATTAATTTCATTCATTCACGCACGCTTTCCTTCATCTTATCTAACCCAAATCTGATTGGTTGAAGCTTTCAAAGAGGTGCGAATCGATACAAAGTGACCTTCATCAGTTTAAAGTTATGAATAAGATCAATTAACTCGTCGTGCCCCGCCAAGGAGTCAACAATCAACATACAAACAGTTGTTATTT